GGGAATTGGAGGCAGGGAATTGGAAGCAGGGAACTGGAGGCAGGGACTTGGATACAGGGAAATCCAAGTCACTTTCGGAACCAATAAAAAACTTTCAATCAAGACAGCAGCTGCCAGGGATTGGGCGCTGCCCCTAGCTCCGGGGTGCTATCCTGACCCTAACTCCGGGGTGCTATCCTGACATGGCTCCTGCTACTAGCCCGTGGGCTCTGGCTGCTATCCTGACCTGGCGCAGGGTTTGAGGTTGGGAGGTGGCCTCTGGCCCTGACCTGGGGTCTGGCAGCTCTCCTGTGACATGGTTCCAGCTGGCCCTAGCCCTGACGTGGCCCTTGTGGCCGTGACGTGAAAGCAGCTGCCATGGCTCTGGCTGCTATCCTGACCTGGCGGAGGGTTTTGGGGGTGGCGCAGGGTTTGGGGTGCGGCCAGTCCTAACGTCACTTTCGGAACCAATAAAAAACTATCAATCAAGACAGCAGCTGCCAGGGCTAGGGCGCTGCCCCTAGCTCCGGGGTGGTGGCGCAGCTGCCAGGGAGTGGGCGCTGCCCCTAGCTCCGGGGTGCTATCCTGACCCTAACTCCGGGGTGCTATCCTGACATGGCTCTTGCTGCTAGCCGGCTGCTATCCTGACCTGGCGCAGGGTTTGAGGTTGGGACGTGGCCTCTGGCCCTGACCTGGGGTGTGGCAGCTCTCCTGTGACATGGTTCCAGCTGGCCCTAGCCCTGAAGTAGCCCCTGTGGCCGTGATGTGAAAGCAGCTGCCATGGCTCTGGCTGCTATCCTGACCTGGCGGAGGGTTTTGGGGGTGGCGCAGGGTTTGGGGTGCGGCCAGTCCTAACGTCACTTTCGGAACCAATAAAAAACTATCAATCAAGACAGCAGCTGCCAGGGCTAGGGCGCTGCCCCTAGCTCCGGGGTGCTATCCGACGGGACCTCTGGCCCTGACCTGGGGTCTGGCAGCTCTCCTGTGACATGGTTCCAGCTGGCCCTAGCCCGGACGTGGCCCCTGTGGCCGTGACGTGAAAGCAGCTGCCATGGCTTTGGCTGCTATCCTGACCTGGCGGAGGGTTTTGGGGGTGGCGCAGGGTTTGGGGTGCGGCCAGTCCTAACGTCACTTTCGGAACCAATAAAAAACTATCAATCAAGACAGCAGCTGCCAGGGCTAGGGCGCTGCCCCTAGCTCCGGGGTGCTATCCTGACATGGCTCTTGCTGCTAGCCCGTGGGCTCTGGCTGCTATCCTGACCTGGCGCAGGGTTTGAGGTTGGGAGGTGGCCCCTGGCCCGACCTGGGCTCTGGCAACTGCCATGGTCTGGCCCTGACCTGGGGTCTGGCAGCTCTCCTGTGACATGGTTCCAGCTGGCCCTAGCCCTGACGTAGCCCCTGTGGCCGTGATGTGAAAGCAGCTGCCATGGCTCTGGCTGCTATCCTGACCTGGCGGAGGGTTTTGGGGGTGGCGCAGGGTTTGGGGTGCGGCCAGTCCTAACGTCACTTTCGGAACCAATAAAAAACTATCAATCAAGACGACAGCTGCCAGGGCTAGGGCGCTGCCCCTAGCTCCGGGGTGCTATGGCTCTTGCTGCTAGCCCGTGGGCTCTGGCTGCTATCCTGACCTGGCGCAGGGTTTGCGGTTGGGACGTGGCCTCTGGCCCTGACCTGGGGTCTGGCAGCTCTCCTGTGACATGGTTCCAGCTGGCCCTAGCCCTGACGTGGCCCCTGTGGCCGTGACGTGAAAGCAGCTGCCATGGCTCTGGCTGCTATCCTGACCTGGCGGAGGGTTTGGGGTGCGGCCAGTCCTAACGTCACTTTCGGAACCAATAAAAAACTTTCAATCAAGACAGCAGCTGCCAGGAATTGGGCGCTGCCCCTAGCTCCGGGGTGCTATCCTGACCCTAACTCCGGGGTGCTATCCTGACATGGCTCCTGCTACTAGCCCGTGGCCCCTGGCCCTGACCTGGGCTCTGGCAGCTGCCATGGCTCTGGCTGCTATCCTGACCTGGCGGAGGGTTTTGGGGGTGGCGCAGGGTTTGGGGTGCGGCCAGTCCCAACGTCACTTTCGGAACCAATAAAAAACTTTCAATCAAGACAGCAGCTGCCAGGGATTGCCCGCTGCCCCTAGCTCCGGGGTGCTATCCTGACCCTAACTCCGGGGCGCTATCCTGACATGGCTCCTGCTACTAGCCCGTGGGCTCTGGCTGCTATCCTGACCTGGCGCAGGGTTTTGGGGGTGGCGCAGGGTTTGGGGTGCGGTCAAGCTCCGGGGTGCTATCCTGACATGGTTCCTGCTGCTATCCCGTGGGCTCTGGCTGCTATCCTGACCTGGCGCAGGGTTTGAGGTTGTAGCGCAAGCATAGCGCAAGCATACCTCCTCTGACGCGCTCCCCTGCTTCGGCAGGGGTCGGCGGATTTTGCCAACTCTACTGGAATCAAGAGGGAAAGCTCGCAAAAAGAGGGGGGGCGTATCCAGTTTGACCATGTTTGACCTCTGGAGGCAGTGTCTTTGATCCTGGAGTTCGGCGTGGACCCGGCAATCCTGGAAGAACGGATCTGTGGGCGATGGATGCACAAGGCGAGTGGCCGCTCTTATCATGTGAAGTTCAGCCCACCTAAGTCAATGCAGCTGGCCGATGGCAAGCCGGTCCCTGACAGCATGAAGGACGACGAAACGGGTGAGGCCTTGTACCAGCGAGCTGATGACACAGCAGAGGCTTTGGTGGCAAGTTTGGAGGGTTATCATACCCAGACCGTGCCCATTTTGGATCACTACCAAGATAAGGGCATCGTGAAGAAGATTGATGCTGGTAAAGAGATCAATGATGTTTGGGCAGAGGTTCTTGTAAAGCTCGCCTCCAAATGAGTTGTAGTTGACAAGAGCACAGCGGAGTTCCTGGGGATTTTCAGCCCAGTTCTCGCTGTGGAGCACAACTCTTGAGGTGAAAAGTGAGGGATGCGGCCAAAAAATATATATATATAACCTGAACGTGGTCGGCTCTAAAGGGGTCAAAGCTCGTTCGGCTCGAAAGGGTCAGGGTGGCCATGACCAGCACCTGGTGAGGCTTTCCAAATGGACAGCAGTCAGAAAGTCTGCTTGACACAGATTGTCTTGGTTTTCTTGAGAGGCCATCCCGAATAAGCACTTGCAGTTCTCTTTCAATAAGAAAGATGTGAATCTGACCCTCTCATGAAACGGGATATCATCACAGGGAAATTCGATGTCTTTGAAACCAGTTATAGTCATGATCACCTCTTCTGCACACCTCAGCGCCCTTGGGGAAGAATGCATTCTCTATTGTCTACCCCACGGAGGTATTTTTTATTTCCTCTCCAGGAGCTCCTCCGGTGCCATGGCCATGTGCCGCCGGGCGAGTCCCGCTGGATGAACCGCGCCTCCCGCCGGCTGAGCCGGTGCCTGCCGGGGCTGCGGGCGGAGCACGACCGCGGGATGCACGCTGAGCGTCAGGTGCTGTAGCCTGGCAGCGCAGGGAAGCGGAGCTGGCGGGATTGGTGGCCTGGGAGAGTGAAGGGGTGGCGGTGACCTGGATTTGCTCAAAAGGCATGTAGGATTAGGATCAGTGGTGTCTTTTCCGGCCGTCACAAGTGGATGCCTCAGTGTGCCAAGGCTCTCGCTGCTGTTCCTTGCAGCGCAAGGGGCAAGACGCAAGGCGCAAGGCGCAAGGCAATGCCCAGCGGAAAAAAGAAGCGCATTGCCCCAATGCACCACACTTGCCTGTTGCCCTCGAAAGATACAGGAGGCTCAATGCTGGCTAAGCGTTAGCCAGCACCCCCCTGAGGTCAGAAACGCCTGGTGCAAGCGCGTCTGCTAATCGATGCCAGAGGCTGCCGCGAGGGGATCAATGAAATCTAGAAATCTAGGAGTCAGGATGGCCACCGTTGACAAACAAGGTGAATACTCGTTTGGAACTCCTTGGTGGCCTTGGAATTGTGCATCATTCTTGAAGAGAGGTTAACCAGTCCTCCACCAAAAAGACACAGCAGAATGGATTTCCAGCGCAGTTTGAGGCTTTTGGTTGCTTTCTATTTTCGGGAGGTATGCTGCCTCCCCACATGCATGCTTTAAATTTGTCAAATGGAGATGTGACTTTCAGTGGCCGCTTTCAATAGAAGAGGCCTCAGCCTGAGCTTGCTTCGCCAGCGGGCGTTGTTGAAAGAGATCATGCCTCTTGGACAGATTCATCGATTCTGGCATGTAACCTTTGAAGTTCTTGGGATTTCAGAATGTTATAGTGGAACAATTGATGTTGCAGCTCCATCCTTGCAAGAGACATTTTGCGATATCCCCATTCTTGAATCTCCATGTTTTGGCTGAGGGCCACTGGCATGGAGAATTTTCCAGAAGCCGCTCGGCAGGAGCAATGTCACAGAGAAGGGGGTCTCACCCGTCCCCGAGCTGTTTGGACCAGAGAGCCTCGTTCAATATGACTCTCCCCCTTGAACATCGGCATACTGCTGTCCAAACATGAACCGGAGAGTCAACAATTGCGAGCCGTGTCAAGAGTCTAAGTGGGATACAGGTGATGTCTGCAACAGTGCCGAGAAGAAAGCAACAAACATCACATGTCAAACACTCCCACACAATGACGTGACCCAAGTAGAGCAGCCCAAGTCCAGATGCCTTTAGTTTAAAAGAGGGTGGTGGGACAGCTGCTTATGCAAACTGAATCACCGGGGCACATATATAGATTAATGTATATTCAAGGGGGGTGTACCCGGCCTCTCAATTTACATTTCCCGGTGTCCAGATTTCATTCCCAGGGAAGTGATTTTATACATTTACTTCTTGGAAGTTGTAAGTTTCATGACATGGCGATTATGGATGTCCCCCGCCCCCTCTCATACATCTTCCTGCAAAACATGTGCGTCCTCAGGGCGGTTTCACCCCCTCGCTTTCATACATTATCCGAAAAAAATAAAAAAATCAGGGCTTGAGCCACCCCCTGCCTTTCATACATATTCCTAAAATTGTGTTTCCAGAAACACCGAGGGAACAAGACACATGTGTATATAATATATATATATATATACACATATATATATATTTTTGGGTTGAGATATCCTTTTTCTCTATGTTACACCCCCCTTGTTTGAACATTGCTTTTCAACACCTGTCCACCCCATCTGCATACACTAGCAGGCATGTATGAAACCACCCCCCTCCCCTTTGTGGAGATGGATCGGGTGGTCAAACTGGCACCCTCCACAACACCATTAAAACCGAGGGAACGGTGTTCACTCAAGAGCAATGCTTTGGGTGGTGCCTTTCTATGGATTCTGGCCCCATTTGGATCGTCAAAAAGGAACACCGGACTCCACTGGCGTGTTTCTTAAGAGTGATCCGCGCGTTGCCCCACGTTTTAACGTGCTCTTCAAGGTCACGTGCTCCGTGACGATCCTGCGAGCGCCCATTTTCTTCGCTCGACTTTGGGGTTGGGTCCGTCATCGCCTGACACCTACCATGCGCCGGGCTGAGTCCGGGACAGGGCCGGGCCGATTTCCGGTCAGAGATGTTATGATGTTTGCCAAAACCCACTGAAAAGAAATAGCATTGGACAGACACTCATGGGAAATGATCAAAGAGATTTGAATGCAACATGTAGATCAGATACACAGACATGTTTTGAGTCAGGTAAGGGTTCACACACACACACAAAAGCAAATATACAACATTACATGATTCCGCTTCTCCGTTTGAAGGGGTTGGATCATTTGGGCACGACTCTCTCAATAGTTGAGAGCTTTGACGTCTCTGGGCTGACCGTCCTTTGCAGGGAGCGGAAGGTCCGGATCTTGGGCGAGGACTTTGAGCAAGGCCTCCGTGAACACAGCGGCCTGGAACGCAAGGCCTTGCCATCCTTCTTGGGAGGCGGGGAAGGATTCGCAGAAACTTTTATCCAAGCTTGTGATGTTTGTCCAAGCTTGGGCTGCAGTGCGGGCCTCATGTTGACCGCCGAAGATTGCAAAAGTGAAAAAGCCAACAGCTGGCCATTCTTCATTGTTTGCGTTTTAGATGATGTCCATGTCTTGTGTGAGCCCTTTGAATGATGAGCTGCCAGGCCAGGGGGCAGGTGACCTGGCAATGGCATGGCCCGTGCCACGCCTCAAGCGAGTGCTCTGAGTGCTCAGCAATCCGACCAACTACTCAACTACTTGGTTTCAGACTCTTGGAGGGGAGGCGATTCGACTTCTGTGAGAAAACTTGGAAGAGTGCTTTGTTCGTAGCGATGCCCTTTGTTACTGGTAGCGTTCTTGTTCCGTTCGTAGCGAGGCCAGGAGCCCCGATCGTAGCGTCCGATCGCTCCTAGTAGTAAGGTTAGGAGCCCCTAGTAGCGTTCTTGTCCAGATGACCCCAGCGGTCCAATTTTCACAGTCCATTTTACAACCTTTTCATTGTGCTGTCCCCGAGCTTGGGACACAAACGCGCTGCGAAACGCGCACGCTTGACGAAAAGCGCGAAACGGGGAAACGGCAAAAAAGACGCCTCAGCTCATGGCGACATGACGTTGCTGACATGTGTCCGATGGCCTCCAACCTACACCAATTTTTTCATTGACTATGGATGCTATAGGCTAGGATCAAACTCTGAAGCGCCTGCAGAACATGGACAACATGGACCAACGGCGATGTCAACCTAGCCTGAGTTGGAGTGTTTGGGGGGGTTTTTGGGGTGTTGTGTATGGCTCAACATGTTTGGCTTGGTATTTTGTATTTTCTTTCCTTTTCTATTGCTTTTTACCCTTTCCTGTCCTCCAAATTCCTTCCCTTTCCTCCTCCTTCCCTTTCCTCCTCCTTCCCTTCCTCCTCCTTCCCTTCCTCCTTGTCCTTTTCCTTTCCTTTCTTTTCCTTTCCTCCCCTTCGACTTCTGTTTAGTTGAAGGCAACCATGTGGGGAGCACACAAGGGAAAAGAAAACACACGTATTAGGCTCCATGACGGTGGAGATGAGAGCGTCCGGGCACTTGTCGCCTTCGTTCCTAGCCGCAGCCATCCATGTCTTTACCAAATCCGAGCATGTGACTTGTTGTGTTTTTGTGAGGGGAGGTGCTGCACCCTCTCCTCCAACCCCCTTCCAGCTTCCAACATTCCAAGTGGAAGCCGAAGCCAAGCCATTTAACAAACCAGGCCAACAGATAAAGCATCAATTGCCATTGCCTGGTTTGATCTGTGAGGAGACGCTGCGCCCTTCCCCGAGTCCTCCAGCTTTCTTCGTGCACCAAAGCTGTTGTGAAACCAGGTAGACCAGGTCAAGCGGATCCAATCATGCATGCAGCGCAACAGCACACCCCTGACCGAAAAGACATCGCAAATAAGAAAATGAAACATGAAGCAACTAGCACTACCCTGGACCGAATATCATAAGAGGTGACGCGTTTTCTCTCAGAAATCGAAGACCCTGTGGACCATGTGTCCCATAAAATTGAAGGAGAAACACTTCCCCTAGACTACACAGCCCTCCCAAACTACAGTCCCGGTGAAGGGGCCACTATTCCAAAAAAAGAGCTGGGGCGTGGACCGTTCAGTCCTGGTGACTTGAACTGTTTGGAAGGTGAACCCCGAGCCCACCAGGTGGACCAGCACTCTGCGGAGAAGTGTGTGGTGCCCTCTGCGATCCTCCAGGAGAGGTCGATCGATCCGGATCGATGCCGGCGAGGGTGTTCGAGATCCAAACATGTAAACCGGTGTTCGACCCAATTCGGGGGACCCTGGAAATAGATCCGATCTCTGGCGTTTCCACTTCAGCATTTTACTTATGAGATGTGTGTGTGTGTTGTGCTGCAAGATCTGCAAGCTTTGCAGCAACGCGAAGTGTGCCTCTGTCACAGGCTTTCCTGCGACGAGTGCAGGCGTTTTGGACTTAGTTTCGGCCCGATGTCATTCAATGAGGCCCCACGCGTTATTGGATGTAGAAGAGTTTGTAGGACATTGGCAGGCTTTGGGGTGCCACGCCTTGCCAATTAAATAGCTGCCGGCAGAGTTGAAAGCAGACTAGAATCCTTGAACTCCAAACTCCCTGACAAGCTGGTTTTGTGGATGCTGGTGGGGGAGGTTTGCCCCACATTGACTTTCAACATCTTTCAACATGACTGGGGAGCCATGTGAAACCCGCGCTGGTTGGTAACGATCGCATGCCCTCGAGCTGATCGTGCCTCCCTTGGCTCAGACTCAGATAGTCAGAGGGCTGTGAACATATCATCAGAGACCAAGTTGATTTAGACGATGGAAAGCAGGAGGTCTGAGGAAACTGCTCCTTCTTTTTGGAAGTCACCGAATTTGCGGCTGCGATGGAGTTGGAGGCGCAGATTCAGCGGATTCATTCAACCCTCCTGACGCAGAATCAGGAGCTCTCAGGGTGGGAAGCGAAATGCACTCTCCTCAACTAACCCAATAGCGATGGCTTCCAACCTAGAAGCGATGGCCTCCAACCCAGTAGCTGCGTCCTCCAACCTCATAGCCTGTGCTTAGGCTGCTGAAACCAGTCGACCCACTGAACTCACACTGAGAGTCGGTCTGGGCTCGACCAACTTTCCGCCGTTGATTCGCAGGAGCTTTTTGACCGCCTGGACACATGGCTGCTAAAGGCGGCGGATGCGGTCAAGCCGCAATTTCCACACGTTTTTGCCTCTTGGCTGAAGTATCACACCATTAGACAGGAACATGTTGAAGACTTACTTATGTGATTGTGTGATCGTTTAACCCAATTGCACCTTAGAGAAAAGCTACTTTTTCGCTTGGCCCATGAGAGCTGGCATTTTCTGATTCAAACTCCAGATAAGCCTGAGGGCCACTGGCTGATCAGCAACATTTCACGAATATGCGTTGTCTTGTGCAGAAACATCGGTGAGAGACAGGATGAACACTGCATTGAAATTTGAATAATCCGGTCTTGCATGTATCGTGGTTGTTTAGGCTCGCGGAGTGAGCGACCGCGAGCTTTTAGCATATTCTTTCACTTTTAGCGCGTTTTGCTTCTGGGGAGTTGCTTCAGGTGGTGGTGGGTGGGGGTAGGGGTAGGGGTGGGGCTGGGCTAAGTGGTGACTGGGAAGAGCGCAGGTTATGTTGATGCTCTGCTGTTCGTATCTATTTGCAACACTGTACATTATAAACATACATAATAATTTAATGTATCTCTCTCTGTATGTACATGTTTTCTTCCTATTTTTGGGGGTGATTTCGGCACAAACAAAGACCTCGGAAGACCACAGATTCCTGTGCAAAAAGGGTTGTCTTACTAGTATTGTCGAGAATCATCGTCCTCTACCTCTTTCAGGGACAGCCACTCTTTGAACCGTTTGAACTCAGATGGCTTATATAACTACTGTAAAACATATCCCTTGACAGTCCTCTACTGAAACGATCTTTTTTAGCCAGACTGAGCTGCCCATGTTGGATGTGGCATGTCAGAGACTCTGATTTTTATAGAGAGAAGAGGAAATGACGGGCCTCGGCGGCCTCGATTCCATAGAGGCTGTATGAGTTGACCATCAGATCTTTTCAATCAAAGAATGCTGATTCTGTAGTGAAGCTAGCATGGGACTTGACATGTCAAGGCTCTCAATTCTATACTTGTTCCCTGAATTGACTTTGTGACTTGCATGTATGTAAGACAATTCAGCGCAACAATTCAGTGCAATATCTAGTCGGTGCAAAAATGAGTGTACACAGAGAAGTTGCACGTTGAACACGCAGGGCCACCGAAAACAAATCAACAACACACCTATAAAATTCAGTCTGTGAAAAGTGAAAACTAGTGAATCGTAAATCGAACGCGCAGTGCCACTCGGGAGAGAAGAAACCAACACCCGGGTAAAGCAGCGTTTCCAGCCTCTCCACTTCAATGACTCCTTGCTAAAACGCTCTAAGCGACCAGCCCACTTCGATACAAAAACACATGGTAATGTCGCCGTGATCTTGTTTCGCAAGCAGCGGTGCGGCGGTGGACTCAAGGAATTCCATGAGCCGGGCACTTCGTCGGCGCTGGACATGGTGACAGAGCTTCCGCAATTCCAGAAGACGGCCAGCAACAGCGACGCAGACTCCAACATAATGGCGCCCATGAGCCCAGGAAGTCAGGTTGTGACTGAAAGTCGCGAAGTTTCAGACCTACAGCCTCTCGGACTGCTGGAAAAGTGCAGAAACATGCAGGAGTAAAGGTGCATCCAGACCTCAACCATGTCTCGATTCCAGAGGTTTTTAAGCAGGAATCCTGCGATGCACATGATGCACACGTTGAATAGGATGTCATAGGTGCACCTCCAACTCACAGCATGCAAAGACTTTTGTCAAGCTCTTGTGAAACTTCGGGCAGGGCAGCTGAGCCCGGAATGTCAGGCACTCATTGTCCAAACGATCGTTCACAAGAAGAAACATGACTGTGGGCCTGGATGAATATGAGGAGGCTAAGGTGGGGATTTTCTCAGAACGGAGATGTAAAGCCATTTTGCTAAGGGGTTGTATTAATCAACAGTCCACACTAAGCGACAATAAGTGCTTGCAGCTTGCACACATTTGCAGCTTCTCCGAGATTCTCCCGGCGTGTCAGAGCTCGGACCGGTCCCTCTCCGCGTCACCTTTCGGTCCGCCAGGACGAAGCCCTGCGCATCGAATCCACGCGCATGCAAGAACAGAGACCATCGGCTCATCTCACACGGCTGGGCCGGCTTTTGCAACGAGGATGCTTGGCACCAAACTTGCCGGGAATCTGCTTGCTTCTGGGGGCGTGGGGGTGCGGCGACGAAAGGCTGGGAAGACGAAACGGAAAGTTCAGGGCTTTGCGCACCTGCCCACGCCTCAAATGGGACGTTGGCTCGGTCGAGCCTGCGGAAACGACGATTGTGAGGTCGGGCAGCTGCAGTGGCCATCACAAATGCCCCGGTCTTCAATGTGATCGTTGCCCTTGTCATTGCAACTCGATCGCAGTTTCGGACCAAAGCGTTTTTTCCTCCAAGTCTACAACCGAATCTTGCGGACGAGTTGCCATAGTTGCCACAGTTTGACAGACAGATGGATCAGAGTCACAAGTGCATGTGAATCAGTGAAATCGGAGTGCTACCAGTGCAGTCTCCAGTGCAGTCCTTCGTCGAAGCCTTTTTGGTGCATCAGCAGGTCTCCAACTCCGTCTTCCTTGGGATCCAGCTGCAAGTGGGCGCAACGCAGGATTCACGGGAGGGGCCGGCAGCAGAGCATGGGGATGCGGTTGTCTTTCTCGTGGGGCATATGCGCCTTGGAGCACAAGACCCATCGTATCACATATATAATGATAGAATAGTAGGACCAAGACATCCATGTTGCGACTCAGCCGTTTTTCTCCGGGCTGATGAAGCGCTGGAGGGCATCATGGGCTGGTGCCCAAATCTGAGGATTTATGCCGTGCTGTTCACAGCCGAGATGCTTCTACGGCTCTTTGCGACTGGGGTCAGGACGGGGTCGCAAATCCTTGAGCTGCAGTGGTGAGGTCCAAACTCACTGTGTCAGATCATGATCAAAGCACGGTTAGCTTGGCTGAGACGAAGCAGTTGTGCCATGTGGCCAGGACCTACTTGATCGGCAAGGAATGGTATTGGAATTGGCTAGATTTATTGGTGGTGATTCCAGCCTGGAGTCATGGCCGCAGTGGGACTTTGACCAAATCTGATGAAATGACAGTAAAAGCGGTCCAGATCTTGGTTTGTAGTCAGGCAGTTGATTTTGGGCTACTTTTTGGACACATGGTGAGCCATTCAGACGCCGATTTTGGTAATTCTTGGCGTGCAGGATTGAACTGATGGCTGACCTCATGCAGACCGGGGGAGGTGTTTCGTCGGGAGCCAGCAACCTTCGCATTCTGCGTGTCTTGAGGCCGGGCCGTGTGTGGCTTGAGTCTGGAGCTCATATTCAAGACACATCAAGCCACATGAAACCATCATAGTTGCATTGATAGTTGTACCGACCTCGGCACAGCAACATGTATTTGTATTTAATGTACGGATGGCATGCACTTAATGATGATGAATGCGACGGACGGGACAAGGCAATGAGTTCCCACCCTTTCCACGGTCTACGGTCGAGCGTGTGCGAGAGGGATGCGAAGGCATGTGACATGTAGCTCGCGCGCCGATATCAACCAAAGTGCGTTATAAAGCTAGCTTCAGGCTCTGAATGAAGGCAGGAGCAAAGGGTCCATGAGGGTCTACTGAGCCTCCTGGCTGTGAGTGAGGGGTGAAGACTTTAAAGTGCCAAGACCATCGGATTCCCCTGGACTGTGCTGCTCTGAAAGACCGAGATCTCGCCCTTTCAGTGAAGAAAAACAGCACGGACCCCCCTTGTTCACGGCGGTCCAGGTCCAGGTGGTCCTATGTTGTCCTTATAGCTTCCAACTCAAGCGACGCCGTCGGACACACCACCCGGATGTCGTGCCTTTGCCGAAGGATCACGCGGATGTTGCAAGTGATCCGGTCCGTGCGCTTGATTCGAGTCATCCACGCCTTCCGAGAGCTGATCTTCTCCATCTTAGACACCACCCGGCAGCTGGTGTGGGTTTCTTGGTGGAGTCGAGGAGTCGAGTCGCAAGTGTCTCGAAGGGAACCGGTTCAAAGTGACGGCCAAGTGTGAACTGTTGATGTGATTGAGGCGCTTGGGATTTTTGGTGCGTGATTTGATTGGAACTGGGATTGGTCAGTATGAATGGTCGCTTCGCGACCCCAACCACCCCAGTGACTCCAGAGAGAGGGTAAAAGACATCTACTCGTATATTATATATATAATCCCTACTTTTGGAATTGTTGATTATGTTGTATGTCTTAGTCTTAATTGCATTTTGCACGCGTTGTTGGGTCTTCTTTTCGACCCCCTTGAAATTGTACAATGTGCATGATCGAGGCAAGACTTAGAGATGAAGGCAGCCTGAAGTGGATGACAAAACATATTAATAATCACTTTTTTGGGGGGACATCGTTGGGTACGTCATCATGAATCATGATACATCATATTTTCCGACCCCCCTTGAAATTGTACGTTTTTCAGAGGGTCCAAATCATATGCAACAATGCTTGCAAATCAATCCTGAACATGCACAATTTCAAGGGGGTCGAAAAATAGAGTGATCATATACAATACAATAAGCATAACGCGAACCAACAGTGTCACGCCCCTCAGCCCTTTCCGTGCGGGCGAATGTTGGTTTCACTGAGGCCATGATTTTGTTGGTGTTGATCATCTACAGCTTCTCCATACTCTTCACCGGTGCAGTGTTGCAGAACGAGCACACCTTTAAAGAAGTGCCGCTGGGAGAGTTGAAATGGGAAGAAGCCCTCTTCTTCTTTGGTGGAATTTTCGACTCCTACAACACGCTCTTCAGGACGGCCGTGACCGACTGAAGCACCGGTCGCGCATGTTTGGTTTGACTTCGACCGGACCCTTCGGTGGTATCAGGACCTGTTTAGCTGGCTTTGATTGGGTGGAAGCGGCTGATGCTTTGAAACCCTTGGGTGATTTTTGGGTGCAGCTCTTCCACCTGTATGTGCCTTGGATCGTTGTCCGACCAGACGGAGCAACGACCACGTTTTGACGCATAGTTGAAACATGCAGTGTTATTCGCGGCTAGGCATTCGTACGCTCAAGTATAGGTGTAGGTGCTCAAGGGAGGGAACTTGCCTGCATGCATTCACCATCCCTTAGCATATGCACAACGCTCTGTGAAGCGGGGGCAAAGCTACCTCAGACCTTCACAAGACTCTCACCTGAAAGATCGCGAAGTCATGCTGACGCAGCGCATCCTTCAGCTCCAAGGCCCTGAAGGCCGGGTGATCCAAGAACATGTGCTCCACCATACACCGTTGAGGACCAGACAGTCCAGGGTAGGTTGACCACAAGCAGGTTGCACTCAAATTGCCAGGTTGGTGTCCGCACTCGGCGAGTTGTGTCCGATTCGTCCATTTTCGCCCACCAGGCCCCAGCAAGGACCCCAGGAAAAGGAAGTACATAGTACATACCAGGTACCACCCGGGAAAGGCATGTGGCCTGATTTCACACGAACACTTCGTACAGTTTGATGGATGATTGGCGTTCGTTTTCAGGCATTTCTTTCTGCAAGCTGTGTGCCAAGTGCGGCCATTTTTGGTACGTGGTGCTTTTGTGACAACTGCTCCGAAGACCAGCGCTTGTCAGACCCGGCGCGTGCCATACTCAAAGTAGATCGAATCAAACCGTTGCCTTGACACATGACATGACATAAGCTCTTGCACTGAACTGCCTCCTGCTTTTGCCACAACGATGTGACGGACCATTTGGATGATTTCAGTTTGTGGCTTGCTGTCCTGATCCAATTTGAGTTGAGCAGCTCGAAAAACCTTCCTTCACATGTTTAGTCAAGGTCTTGTCATATCAAGCCCCCGCATAAGCAAAACTATAACTATGAGTTTCGCATGGTCGAGCAAGCATTTTGGGGGGGTACAAGGTTGCCGAAGCATGAGTGTAGCTGTCTTGCTCAAAAGCAAGATGGGAGTTGTGGATGAGTAAAGCCAAGTCAAGTACAGGCCGAGGGATTTGGCATGACACGTTTCCGGCGTTTCCATGGACCAAGCAGTGCAGTGCCTCCAGCTATTCAGTTGTGACCTTTAGCATGCACTTTCTAATTCTTTTCCAATCTCCTTAGTAGCAAGGTCTCTTGGACTACCAACACTCCAAGACTCGGCCAGCCTGCTGCCCAAGCGCAGCAGCGCACTATATACTGTAACCCTCCTCATCCCTCCTCCTTCCTTGCTCCCTTGTTTTTTTCACTTTATGCCTTGCAACTTGAAAGGAAGCTTTGGCAGCTGAACAGGTGGCATAGCTGCTTTTGAACACCCCCGCCCGCCCTCCCCTTGTTTGGCCAGGCGTTCATGCTATCGCCGCTGTTAGCGACCCCAGAGGAAATCGCGATTTTATGGTGCTGTCAGGTTGATGCTTCCTCGTTGATGTGGGGTGGGGTGGGGTGGGGCATGTTGACGTTTGCTTGCACTTGCGTCACGAAGTTGATGCTTCGTGGTAGATGTGGGGTGGGGTGGGGTGGGGCATGTTAACGTTCGCTTGCACTTGCGTCACGAAGTTGATGCTTCGTGGTTGATGTGGGGTGACGCAAAACGCGTCGATCAATATGTCCGCAGTCTTCAGTTTCGGTGGAACAACCGAGGAAATTTGCTTGAGGCGTTGGCCCGAACGTGGCCGCAAGTGTAAAGAAAATACACCTGCAAAACGCGTGCGTGCCAAAAAAGAGTGCACTTTCTGCTCTTCCCCAATCTAAATTCCACCTTACAAGTGCTGACGCTTGTGAAAAACGGGATGAAAGCGCATATGATCCAAACTCTCCCAAATGAAAAAATGAAGAAATGGGAGGTTTTGAGCACTTTCCTTTGGCAATGTGCGAATCGCACAGGGTCACTATTAGCGGCGGTACCTTGTGTGGCCAGGCGGTGCCTGCAGGCTGGCTTGGCCTTGTGTGCCAACCATTGCAAGAAAAAGGGCGCATGTGCCACTTTCACAAAAGCCGGAGACAAAGGCATGCGGCTTCTCGGCACCCAACCGTTTCTTCGTCTATATCCTCATCGTTTGATTTGTCCACCTCATCTTGAACCAATGCTCGCCGCAAGGAACAGTGGTCGTTCGCGTAAGCTGCTGTGGAAATTTGCACGGTGCTTGTGCGCGTAAGGGCTGCGTAAGCTGTTCCTGCGCGCCTGCTTGCGCGTAAGCCAGAATCCGAGGCGCGTAGGGATAACGGAGCCATTGGCGCAAACAAACTGATACGACATAGGGGGTTACTTCAAGTCTTTAGAGTGGCTCATTTGGGTCATGTTGGACCGCAAGCTTCGTGTGGCCAGCATCGAGAGAGCGAGAGTTCTTCATCTGAGGTGGCTTTTTGTAGCTTCGCCGTGCTCAATGTGATCACCGGTGCCACGCCAGACTTGGACCCTGAGGCTTTGAGGCTACAAGACCTAGCAGTAATGTCTCTTTAAAGCAAGGTCGCAGTGGATAGGGAATGATGGTGGGCTAGGATTTCTGGCGGAAGGGTGGAGGTAGCGTGCTGCTTGGGGCTTTGCAAGGTTAGAGCTTGGTTCCCAGGAATGGGGAGGTCTTTTCCTCACCCGTGGGACCCGTGGTGAGGTGTTTTTGTGAACAGTGCCATCAAGACGCGGGAGAAGGACCATGAGACGGTCATGCTCCACGTCCAAAAGTTCAAAGACCTGGCGTCCAATGTTTGGCAGAAGATGGACACTCGAGGCCACGGAGGGGCAGCTTAAGAGACCAGAGACGGCAGAGGGCCTGACACATCAGCGCCACGGGCCTTTCTGCTGTGAGAAAACAAAGAAACACCGGAACAGGGACACTACCAAAAAAACAAACCATCCCAGGTATACATATATAATTGTATCTATTTTTTGTACGCTCATCCAACATCCTTCGTCCTGGTCGGACGTTCTGTCCGTTGTTTATTGCTCCCGCCCCTTGCCGGAGGCGACGGCAAGATTACCATTACCGAGTTTGAGCAAATGTTCGATGACCCTGACATGCAGGCTGGTTTTGCAGCAGGTTTGGCTCATTGGTTCCGACGAGCGGTTTTGTTTTGCTTTTTGGCTCGCTGTGTCGGTGGGGCACAGAGCTGACGCCGTAGGCCTTCTTTGAGTCCATTGAGATCAACGCAGTGGATGCGTGGACTCTTTTTGACTCTTTGGATATGGATGGCGACCACCTCATCAGCTACGAGGACGGACTGGTTGATAGCTCTTGAGTCTCTTGCCCGTCCGGACGCGTGATATTCTTTTATAGCCTGGCCCCCGAATTGACCAAAACCTTGGGACCAGCAGGAGCCTGCCGGTGTTGCAGTGTATTTCTGGCATCCCCGATGGAAGAATCTCTCAACACATGGACAAACCAAAAAAATCCAAAAGATAGCGTATCTCTTTCCTTGGGTTTGGATGGTGTTGGCCCGGCCAAAGGAGTTTGTCCAGAGGTGCACCCAACTTCACGGTAATGCCCGATCAGTGGATCTCTTCGCGCTGAAGCAGCTGAATGGCAAGGCGAGTGGGTTCTACGTGTGTTTGCTCGTGCCACTTTATGCCTCAGAAACCTCTGAAATTGGCAACTGAAGTTGGCTCCGAAGCCTCATGTGGAGCCTCACTGTTGGGAGTTCCTTCTCTGACAAGGCAAATAAAACAGAAAGCTAAATTTTAAACATTGAACATTTCTTTTCTCTGGCGGAGCACCCGGCAAAACAAAGGGTTCTTGACCATACATCCCTTTTTGGCCCTCGCAGTCACAACGGTGCTCATCTTTTTTCTAGCCAATTGGCTGAGAAGCCTGGTAAGCAGAAGAAAGCAGATCGGTTTCATCTTTCTCCACTCAAGAACAACTACTGGGGATGAATCATCTGTGCCGGGTACAATCTGCTCCACGATTAGGGAGGTGCGGGGCAAAATAGACAACAACTGTGCACAAGTACAGGCAAATGCCAGTACAGCTCAAACATCCTGAGCACAGCACGGCTTCAAGCAAGGTAGGGGAGCCTAGGATTACAAGGATCCAAAGTCATTGGTAGACTGAGAAACCTTGACATTATTCAAACCACAAAAGTGACCACAAGCACAAAATCTAAAGAGGAAGCTCTCCATCCACCAGAAAGCTTCCATGTGGAAGATCCCAGCACCAGAAACGAAGTCCAAAGTTCACAGGTTTCCAAAAAGAATCATCCAGGCGCAAGTCGACACCCATCCCTGCCTCTGAGAACATCAAGGACACGGGATTCCTTCTTTCTCTCCAAGAGGATCTTCGATAAGGCTACATCAACAAGTTGAAGTTTTCTTTTCTCGGGTTACTTTTGCAGTTCTTTATCAGCACGAAGCCATTGTGAGGTTCTGGACGGGTCTCCTGAAAGCTTGTAGGGTTCCGCGGGTGAATGACATCGCCTTTGCCTGGGGCCGATCGTTCTGAGTTTCGGGCCGGAGGTGTGGGATGAGTTGAAGACCTTGACAGAGTCTCAGCAACAGGTGGGGTGGACTCCAGGTGGACCGGCGTCTTCCCGAATTGGCCTGCTCCTTCCAAAAGCATTGAGTTATATATTATATAGCCGGAGGCTGCGCGAAGAGGTCGTTAGCCAAGCTGAGTGCGTAGTGACCATAGATTTGGTCATAGGTCATGAGAACATTAAGTAAGTTGCAAACCCTCTCGCACGAATCCACCTCCTTCTTTCAGGCCAAATTTGGAAGCACAGAATTGTTCATTGTTTTCGCAGATTTGTCACCAGTCTCAACCTTACCCGGGCGCACCTCATCCAATTTGGCCCATGGCAGACCAATGTGTACATCAAGTACCTGATGCAGCATGTGGTTGGGAGGGCAGACCATGACCCCATGGTTGCTGTGGTGGCGTGACATAGAGCATTTGAATGAGCAGGGTCTTTTTGTAAGCTACCAGTAGCTTCTTGGTACCAGGAGTAATGCCCTTGTTACTAGTAGCGATGCACTTGTCACTAGTAGCGATGCACTTGTTACTGCAATGTTCATCAATGTTTCACTTCAGCCGCGGGAGCTGGTTCGTAGTTTCATGGCCCCCTGTTCCTGGCGAGTAGTCAGCCTGGTCGAAGACCAGATGGGACGTTTGGAGGGCTTATGAGTTCACGGCGGCGGTCAAGACTTTCTTACCCACTGCAGCACTGACTTTTTGCGTTGCGCCGGAGCATACTAGACGATGAATGTCAAGACATGTTCCGACTCAGAATCTAGAGGAATGAATCTACTGTAATTACTTGGGAGCTTTGTGCAGATGAAGCCTTTGGTGGGTGATTGTGCAGATTATATAAATCTTTGTGCAGATGAATGACCTTGCTGCCTGCACTTGCTCAAGCTTGTTTGGGGCTGCAGGGGCGGTGAAGTATTGCCATGGGGAGCCTAGAAGCAGATGGTTTGGTGAGCTGGGACGAATCCGGAGGCCCGGTTCTGCCCAAACTGTACTGGTGCTGGCCCATGTGTGAACAGGTATCCACAAGTGTTTGCGTTGCGTTGGGCAGACCCATCCCGGTGCGCGTTCTCACTGACCGCCACCCCAATCCTTGCGCCAGGATCGGTGGCGCCGACCGACTCGCC